CACCTTTTATTTCCAATACTTCTTTCCTCTGCACCGACTAACATTATTTAATGTATTTGTTAAAGTTTAATGTATATGTATTTCTGGAACCTACATATACCACCTTTTATTTCCAATATTTCTTTCTTCCGTATCGACTAACATTATTGACGCGGTAAATTGTAACATATTATAAAAGAAATGAAATCGGAGAGATCGACCTGGGATACCTTCCTTGTAAGCAGATCTTTTCTCTCAATTTCATCCTACAGTTCATCCCGAAGTTACCACCGAGTGGATAGTTCGGAAGGTTAAAGCGGATCCCGAGGAGCTGCTCGCGCGTTTACACGCGCGGCGTCGATATGGGCGCCTTGATGGATTTACGTGGCGGGAAATTTAAATAAGCCCGATAGGGGTGCCTCGAGCCCGTTCGATAAACAGTTTGGGAGAAACGCGAAGTTGGCGAGCCAACCCTCGGCCGAATGATCAAACAGCTCGGAATGCGAAAATTATGATTCATGTCCCGAGGTCCTCGATTTTTCGAATCCTAACCTTCGAGGACGATTCCACGCGATATCGATTCGATCCCTCGACGAATCGCGCGCGTTTTCGGGGATTATAAACGCGCCTTTCTTCATATAAAGACGTAAGACTACAATTGCAAGTTTGCGGTAATGTCCACATCTACCGGTCCGATTTTTATGAATATATTATACTCGATATAAATTCGGTCGCAGACGAATCGCGCGCCTTTTCGGCGATTATAAACACGCCTATCTTCATATAAAGACGCAAGACTACAATTGCAAGTTCGCGGTAATATGCACATCTACCGGTTCGATTTTTATGAATATATTCCCCTTCAACTTGTATGGGACATAAACTTTATTACAATTTTTATTCGTACCTCATCATGCCATAGACAAAATCAAAACCCGTAGCCTAGGACCTTCGGCTGTCGAAAGCTATGTTTAGAATTTCCATGTGTCTTTAAATAAACAATTAGACTATATTTGTCGGAAAATAACTTGCAGATGACGGACTTTAAACTTATCCAGAGAAGACGAAAGATAATATTCCTGTTATCCAGATAAATTCATCTACACGATGCATAACACTGCATGTCAAAGCTATAAGCTCGGTGCCCGGGCCACGTGACGCGTCGTCCGTTGCCCTGGCAACGACGAGCCAATCAGATTCGCCGGTCGCGCGTCCTCACTCGCCTTGACGCAGGCTCTGTAATGACACCTGCGCGATCGACCGTGCGCCGTGAATCACGCGCGATCGGACACGGCAATCCTTTGCGCACCTTCGCGTGAAGGTAAGAGGTACAACATAAAAGGTAAAATAAAACCCGCGACTCCGATCCAAGGAGTCTCCCGTGTCCAAGGGTGCAAAAGGGCTATAGGTTAAGTTGTAGGTTAAGGGGACTTTTCAATCAAAATTTGTAAAAAAAAATCCCTTCCATTTTATTTTCTGGGTTGTATATCGACGGACATGAATGCCTTCCTTACGAACATTGCGATACTAGTGTATGATGGGAAGGTAATCACGTACGTCAGGGTACAGAGTGGGAATTTCATAATAAGGCGTTTTAACATTGCTGTATACAGGTATGTATAATGCAAGGTGATATGAAGTGGTATCCGATCAATCGTTTGTAAAGCTATTCTCCGAACTAGATGTAGCAAATTTCTTTAAATCTACACCACGTATACACGAAAGCCCTAAAGAAGGCTCTAACGCCCATGCGATTTGTTTCCTAAATGTTTATAAATCAATTTAACGGAAAAAAATGAAATCTCAAGAGTGTCAGGACCTCTCTTAAGGCTTCCACATTGACGAGGTAAAATGTCAAACGATCAGGCACACCTAGTTCAAAGAAAAATTTCATAAATGAGACCCCTCAGACGTCACTTTCACATCGACTTAAGATAATATTAAAAGGGTCATTCTATATGTATAAAACGTCAAGATATTTATGAAACTTTTCTCCAAACTGGATGCGACGAATCGTTTGAAACTTCAGCAAGCGATTATGGAGGCTGTAAGGAAGAACGCAATGCTCATGAACCTTCATTTTTTATAAAAATCTTTTTTATTCACCCCAGACTAGAATCAACAATACACATGTTTGTTTTTTTTTAATGAATTTTCACGAGCACCACGTTCTTCCTTAGGACCTCAATAATCACGTGCTGAAGTTTCAAATAATTCGACGTACCCAGTTTGGGGAAAAGTTTTATAAATATTTTGACTTGGTGACATGACGCTTTCATAACACTTTATAATTCGACAAGGAAAGGGAATTCACAAGGCGGCCGAGCCTCGGTATTTCGCGGTCCTGCGGAGCCTGAGATTCTCACCGGTTTTACCGGCAAATCCGTATAGTTGTCTCCCGTCCGATATCCATCAGAAATTCAATCCCCGAACGTCCGTATTACATTTATTTGTACTGCACGAAATCCGAGCTCGGGCGCAGATCGATGGTCCCCGGGGAGGAGTCCGTTTTCGAGATTGCGCGAATGTTTTTACGTACAACGGGAGGCGCACGTACTTTGAACAAAGAGGCGAGAGGAGGGAGAGAGGCTCGTTATGGGGACGAGGAAGTCGATCGAAAGGATCGAATCGATCCTCTTTATCGATCGAATCACCTAAGGTGATATAAAACGTCCAAATATTAATAAAACCTTTGGCTCCAAACTGAATGCACCGGATCGTTTAAAACTTCAGCACGTGATTATGAAGGCCCTAAGGAAGAACGCGATGCTCGTGAAATTTAATTTTGAAACATTTTTTATTTGTTTATTCTAGACTAGACCAAAATCACATTTCGTGGCACATTCCTTTTTTTTCCGGGCCACGTCACCCCCATCTTGCTCTTGAGAAAATCTATACAATGTAATAGCGAGGATAGCCCTTAAGGTGATATGAAAGAGCCACTCTATATATACAAAACGTCAAAATATTTATAACAACTTAGACTAGACCAACCTATACTAGACCAAAATCACATTTCGTGGCGCATTCCTTTTTTTCTGGGCCACGTCACCCCCATTTTGCTCTTAAGAAAATCTAAACAACGTAAGAGCGAGGATAGCCCTTAAAGTGACACGAAAGGGCCACTTTATATATACAAAACGTCAAAATATTTATAACAGCTTTTTTCCAAACTGAATGCACCGGATCATTTAAAACTCCACCACGTGATTATGAAGGCCCTAAGGAAGAACGCGATGCTCGTGAAGTTTCATTTCTCACAGAAGAATGTGATCTTGATCGTAGTCTAGGCTAAATAATAAACAATTTTTGTTGGTAAATCAAATTTCACGACCATCCCATACTTCCTTAGGGCCTTCATAATCACTTTCTAAAGTCTCAAAAGAATCGGTGCACCCAATTTGGAAAGAAGTTTTATAAATATTTTGACGTCATGTCTATAATATATACAATATATAATATAAAATAACCCTTTCATATCACCTTAAGAGGCACCGCAGAACAAGGACCGAAGGGAACAAGGATCGAAACTTCATTCAATAAATAGACTATTCTACGAGACACATCGCATCCTCCGCTTGAATTCAGAGACATATCAAATAAAGTTCAAATGTTTTCTTTGCTAAATATTAAAAGGAATTATTATTTAATTCCCCCCCCCCCTTTTTTGTGAAAAATGGAATTTCATAAGCATCGCGTTCTTCCTTAGAGCCTCCATACCCACCGTCTCTAGTTTCAAATGATTCGGTGCCCCTGGCTCGGAGAAAAGTTTTATAAATATGAAATAAGAGAGAATAGTATCCGAGCCGCGACGAGAGGGATAAGGAAAGGCCGATATATCGGCGGTTGAGGTACGTCTTGCCAAACGACGGAACGGCCAAATTCTGACCATGACACGATTACACGCGGATAGGCCCACGCGATCGCCTTGGGCCTTGTCCGAGGTCCAACCCGATGTCCAACCCGAGGACAGTTGCAGGATCCACAAGAGTTCCTCTCTCTCCTCTCTCTCTCTCTCCTCCTCTCCCCTTTCTCGCTCTTTTCGCCGGTTCGCCTTCGCGAGCGAGCTAGATTTCCCCCCTTCGATGTTACACACAGAAATGTATTACCGTAACCATATTACATATGCCCACGGTTAAGACTATTATCGAAGCGATAACAACGATTAGATTTTATTACAATGTCTTCGTCCTTTTAGGATATATTAAGGTGATATGAAAGGTTCATTTTATATATCAAACGGTTATATATCGATGATTAGATTTTATTACAATTTTTTTGTTCTTTTGGGATTTATTAAGGTGATATGAAAGGCTCATTGTACATATCAAACGATTAGATTTTATTACAATTTCTTCGTGCTTTTAGGATTTATTAAGGTGATATGAAAAGCTCATTCTATATATCCAACGGTTATATATCGACGATTAGATTTCATTACAATTTCTTCGTTCTTTTAGGATTTATTAAGGTGATATGAAAGGCTCATTTTACATATCAAACGGTTATATATCGATGATTAGATTTTGTTACAATTTTTTTGTCCCATTAGGATATATTAAGGTGATATGAAAGGTTCATTCTATATATCAAACGGTTAAATATCGACGATTAGATTTTATTACAATTTCTTCGTGCTTTTAGGATTTATTAAGGTGATATGAAAGGCTCATTGTATATATCAAACGGTTATATATCGACGATTCAATATCCTTCAAGTTTATTTGACAAAATCCCCTATTTAAACACCGATAAACAACAAACTTAGCTTGAGAGGGGAGTTTGAAAAGCTACTGGGGCGGGTTTAAACCCCATTAACGAGTCCCAGTGTTTAATGATAATAAATTACTGACTAAAAAAATCGTCTAATGTCAGACATGGAAATCCTCGATTTAGACTCCTGATATCTCGCTGGATAAAATTTCAACGAAATGTTTAGGTGGGTTTCTTTCCGATAACTACCCAATGTACCCCAAGATACTCAAAAACAATAGGTGTCTCGCGCTATATTGTAGACTTACTTGTCCATTTCTGAATTGCGGCTGTTGCTGCTGCTGCTGTTGCTGCTGGTGGTGGAAAAGAGCAACCTGCTGCTGAGCCGTCATCTGGTTGTTCAGGTACACCAGGTGCTCCGCTCCAGGCGCGCCGCTCTGGAATGCAAATGGAATTTCTTTAAGAAAATCGAAAAAAATCTCCCTAAACAAGGTCTATTCGATCGTCCGTACTCGCTCTTTTCCATTCTATGGATATCGGTCATTATGTGGAAAGCGAATTCTATAAGATGCACCCTGCGGAAAATGTCAAAAGGCCGGTTTAAACTTGAAATATGAAATGTTTATCTTGGGCTTATTGATCATCATATGAAATGTTTATCTTGGGGTTATTGATCATCATATGAAATATTTATCTTGGGGTTATTAATCATCATATGAAATGTTTATCTTGGGATTATTGATCATCGTATGAAATGTTTATCTCGAAATTATTGATCATCATATGAAATGTTTATTTTGAGATTATTGATCATCATATGAAATATTTATCTTGGGATTATTGAGCATCAGTTTGGAGAGAAAGGGTAATTCCGACATTTATTGCCAAATAAACCAGAACCTAATTGTCATGTACGGTTCTAATTGTATGAATTGTTCGAATCCAGAGCATCGAGTTGCAAGAATGAATATTTTACTCCCAGTTTAATTGTATTTTGATTTATGAACGTCTACTTTCAATTCCGTAAAATTTAGGAGAATCGGTGTAGAAACATAAAATATTTCATGACTTTTCAATTGTTTATTTCATGCATGTTGCGGAATTTCAAATATCGCATCGATCTATGCCTTCATGCAAATATGGGTATTCATAGATTTTATTTTCAATCACTGATAAAGTTACGAAAACCCCACGACATTCCACGAGATTCTGTGCCACATACTGTTCTTTGAAATGTTAAAAATCGTTTATTAATATTTGCTATCCTTGCGGAATAAAGATGTCTTCGTATTCAGCGACCCGAGAAAGTCTTTTAACATAAATTTACAAGCAGTTTCGACATGTCGATCAAGAACTGCGTGAAAAGGTATGAAATTAAAAAAAAAGCCGTAACAAGAACGACACTTCAAATATGCCTTTTAACATCAATTTATATACAGTTTCGACATGTTGCTCAAAAACTGCGTGAAAAGGTATGAAATTAAAAAAAAGCCGTAACAAGAACGACACTTCAAATATGCCTTTTAACATCAATTTATATACAGTTTCGACATGTTGCTCAAAAACTGCGTGAAAAGGTATGAAATTAAAAAAAAGCCGTAACAAGAACGACACTTCAAATATGCCTTTTAACATCAATTTATATACAGTTTCGACATGTTGCTCAAAAACTGCGTGAAAAGGTATGAAATTAAAAAAAAAAGCCGTAACAAGAACGACACTTTAAATATGCCTTTTAACATCAATTTATATACAGTTTCAACATGTTGTTAAAAAACTGCGTGAAAAGGTATGAAATAAAAAAAAAAAGCCGTAACAAGAACGTTACTTTAAATATGCCTTTTAACATCAATTTATATACAGTTTCGACATGTCGATCAAAAACTGCCTGAAAAGGTATGAAATAAAAAAAATAGCCATAATAATAACGACACTTCAAATATGCCTTTTAACATCAATTTATATACAGTTTCGACATGTCGCTCAAAAACTGCGTTAAAAGGTATGAAATTAAAAAAAAAAAGCCGTAACATGAACGTTACTTTAAATATGCCTTTTAACATCAATTTATATACAGTTTCAACATGTCGATCAAAAACTGCGTGAAAAGGTATGAAATTAAAAAAAAAGCCGTAACAATAACGACACTTCAAATATGCCTTTTAACATCAATTTATATACAGTTTCGACATGTCGCTCAAAAATAAAAGACATAACAAGAACGACACTTTAAATATGCCTTTTAACATCAATTTACATACACTTTCGACATGTCGATCAAAAACTGCATGAAAAGGTATAAAATTAAAAAAAAAAGAAAAAAAAATAGTTACAAGAACTTTAAATATGCATACATTTTGCTAGTGTTCTCCCCTTTATCTTTTATCGTTCATTTTCCATAATTTTTCCTACTGAACTCCATAATTTAAAACTCGAGCACAACTCGTGGAATATAATGTTAGGGTGGAAAAGTTTCACTTTCAAGCCGACTGATGGTATTGACCAGCTTTTCCGTCATTTTCGTCGGTACGTAACGACGCAAAGAGGAAAACACGACACCGAGATACAAAGTCTAAGCGATAGGAGAGTACTCGTCGGATGCGGCACATTTTCGCGGAATTAACGAGGAGATCGGCCAATGTTAAATCGATACCACAGACACGACAATGTCATAGTAACGTGGAGCTCCAAATGGCTCCGAGCTTATAAGAAAAGTATCCCAGAGGTACCCCAAATTTCTTTTTTCCGACATACACTGATAAGAATCTATGTCAATTTACATATACTCTTCCACCCTTCATAACTTAAGTTTCATCACGTAGGAAAACGTAAAATGGAAGAATTACGTATTAGAATCGGTATAGATAGACCTAACATTGCATATTTACCGTATTCCTGCATTTTTACTTGAATTTAATGCAACGTTACATTATCATTTTCTGTAATTTAACTCAAATGGTTTCATACTTTAAAACGTGAATATGGGGACCCTAAGGTAGGTCCTGGGGCACTCGTTAACACTAGGTTTACGGGACCCGTCAATTAGACGGAATTCAAACTTCGAAAAGAAATACCGAAAAAACCATAGCATTAATTTGAACCATTTTCGTATCGTAAATTAATCATTTCATCCAAAGAATTTGTACACACAATTATTTTCTCCTAAGCCTTTTAATTATTAAAATCTGTATGTAGTATACCTATCTCTACGAAAGCCGTCAAATTGACGGACTAGCTAATTTCATAAACAATCCATATATATTTGCCTCGTTGCAGAGAGTGTAAGGCGAAGATGAGAGTGAAAGTTTGCACTGAAAGTGGAGAGATAGAAGGATCTTCGGATAGTGAAGAGGAAAACATCTTAAAAAGGTGCCGTAGCAAGAAAAGGATGCGCATTCTTTCTAGTTCTGACTCCGAGGATGAGAGGACGAGCATTCCAATCATTTCCGTGATAATTTTTAAAAAAGGACTGTTTACTTATTAATCATTCATTTAAACGTAAAGCCTAGGGTTGTTTAATACAGGCTTAATTTGAATGAATCGATTTTTTAAAGAAAATTCGTGTTTTCGTTTACCCGTCAATTTGACGGGTGCTCGTAGAAACAGGTATATAAAAAAAACCCCGTAAACCTAGTGTTAAAATCATTCACCTTAAGTTGCATCGGGTGAATCTCGTAAGGCAGGTGTATGTTGTTCATGGCTTGTAGACCGAGCTGCTGTGGCTGGCTCTGTTGGGGTACTCCCAACTTAGTCATCGGGTACTTCCATTTTTCGTGGTTCTGAAAGCAACCAATCCAATTAGCACGCCTCGGTAACCGTAACGAAAGTCATTACATTACGTCCCGAGAGACGTTAAGGGGATGCGAAAGTGGAATCCGAGGGGTCAATCGTTCGTTAACATAGTCGCGACCGCTGACGTGAATTCACGTCTTTTCAAGTTCTATTCCCGGTTGCCGCTGACGTGAATTCACGTCATTTTAAATTCTATTCCCGGTTGCCGCTGACGTGAATTCACGTCATTTTAAATTCTATTCCTGGTTACCGCTGACGTGAATTCACGTCATTTTAAATTCTATTCCTGATTGCCGCTGACGTGAATCACGTCCGTAACGATGCACGATACAAGTTTGCGGCAACCAGTTTCAGAATTTAATTATTTTCGCCGGTACTTAGTATCTGAAAGGGAACAAATTTTCCGGTCGCGAATGTGTTAAAGTATTCCCCGAATTGGGCGTACCAATTTCTTTCAAATTTAACCACATGAATAAGGAGACCCCAAGGTGGGTCCTGAAACTCGCGAGATTTTATCATTTATCTATACAAAATTTTGAAAATAGCTATTAAGAAATTATCTTAAAATTGAAATCTCATGGGCTTCAGGATCTTCCTTATAGCCTCTATATTCACGGTGTAAGGTTTAAAAAGATTCGCTACACCCAGATCGGAGATAAGTTTTATAAATGAGATCTCTTTTTGACGCCACTTTCATGTCACCTTAAGGGAAGATCGGTGCCGCGATCCCTGACATCGGTCGGCAAATTTCGATAACGTCCCTGATTGCTAGGGATGAATTTATACCACCAAGGTATCGATCATTTTATTCATTACTTGCATCGGGGAAAAAAAAAGTATCGACATCATACTCAGGACAGGTTGGCAAATTTCGATGATAACACCCCTCAAACTAGGGATGATTCGATACCACCGAAGTATCGACACCCAGGATCGGTATACCCCAGTTCATAAAATGTTTCATGAACGATACATACTCAATTTACAGAAAAATAGGGTACCGGTACTGTACTCAGGATAGGTTGACAAATTTCGATGATAACACCCCTCAAACTAGGGATGAATCGATACCACCGAAGTATCGACACCCAGGATCGGTATACCCCAGTTCATAAAATGTTTCATGAACGATACATACTCAATTTACAGAAAAATAGGGTACCGGTACTGTACTCAGGATAGGTTGACAAATTTCGATGATAACACCCCTCAAACTAGGGATGAATCGATACCACCGAAGTATCGACACCCAGGATCGGTATACCCCAGTTCATAAAATGTTTCATGAACGATACATACTCAATTTACAGAAAAATAGGGTACCGGTACTGTACTCAGGATAGGTTGACAAATTTCGATGATAACACCCCTCAAACTAGGGATGAATCGATATCACTGAAGTATCGACACCCACTTCATAGAAAAGTTTCATGAACGACTGACCTTTCGGATGCCACTTTCACATCCCCTTAAGGGATGATATTTCCATATATCAGAACGTCAAAATATTTACAAAACTTTTCTCCAAACTGGGTGCACCGAATCATTTGAGACGTTAACACATGAGTATAGAGGCCTTACGGAAGAACGTGGTACGGATGAAATTTCATTTTTTAAACATTTTTTTTTTTATTTAGCCTAGACTAGAGCCAAGATCACAGTTTTCTGTGAGAGATGAAATTTCACTCGCACCGCGTTCTTTCTTAGAGCCTCCATGATCACGTGCTGAAGTCCCCAACGATTTTTATACATATATAACGTCATAAAACGTCAAAATATTTATAAAATTTTCCTACAAACTGGATGCACCGAATCGTTGGGAACTTCTATAATAACCCTTTCATATCCCCTTAACCCTTTTGGTGCCGTACGACATGTCGTCATTTTACAAGTGCCAACGACATATCGTCGTTTTACAGGTACCTACGATATATCATCGTTTTACAAATTCCACCGACATATCATCATTTTACAAATTCCACCGACATATCGTCGTTTAACAAGTGCCAACGACATATCGTCGTTTTATAGGTGCCAATGACACATCATCATCGTTTTACAGGTGCCAACGACATATCCTCATTTTACAAATTCCACCGACATATCGTCGTTTTACAAGTGCCAACGACACATCCTTGTTTAACAAGTGCCAACGACACATCCTTGTTTAACAAGTGCCAACGATACATCATCGTTTAATATGTGCCATCGACATATCGTCGTTTTACAGGTGCCATCGACATATCGTCGTTTTACAGGTGCCACCGACATATGTGCCCATAATTATGAAAGTGGTCTAAGTCAAAATTAAAAAAAAAATGAGTTTATCAGTTATTTCACGCCATATTATTTCAAACGAAATTAATTCAATGTAATTTCGAAACAAAAAATATATGACTTATACCACTTTCATAATTATGGGCACATATCCTCATTTTACAACTGCCAACGACACATCATCGTTTAACATGTCCCAACGACATATCGTCGTTCAACAACCGCCAACGACATATCGTCGTTTACCAAGTGCCAACGCCTTCGGCCGGCACTAAAAGGGTTAAATTCGGATTTACTGGGTTTGGACACGAAAAGCCCCGGATTTCGAGTACGACGGAGACGCAGTCAATCTGTGCATCGGCAAGGCCGAGTTTTCTCGAGTGGAGTCGCCGGCAACTCACATTGGTCACGTTGTCGATAATGGCGTCGTCCGCGAGTGTCCATGCTCGCGGGGCCTGTTTCGTCTGAAAAGTCGAGGCTTGGGCATTGAACTCCGGTTCGGTCGGCCTCTGGAAGACGTAGCCGACCATGGCGTCGTCCTGGGCTCTGCCGACGCTCATCTGGTGTGCCTGACCTGGCTGAATGCGAACTCCGTCGCCACCTGCCATCACCTGAGCACACTGCTCCGTCTCCTGATGACAAAGAAAGAAAAAGTCCCAGCCATTCAACAAAACGCACGATTCAACGGCTACTCTTAGAACTACCTGGATGTTATCGTGGCCTCTGCCATTACAGGACTCGACGCTTTCCCCGAGAAAACGATTTCTTTCATCGAAAACAAATACGTTTTAAGGTGAAGTGAAACACGTCGAGGAACTTGATCGACGTCGATAAAGAAGATTTTTCTAAATGCCTACGATGCCGACGTTGGTTTTTATATTGACAGCTGGGTCGAATTATATTGGGTATTGTACCAAATGGCATACTCCACCTGTCGTTTTCGTACAATAATTATAAAGAAATCCAAGTAAAACTCCAGAAAGCCTCCGGATTCGTGCTTTCTGGGGCCCTAATTGACTGCAGAGGGACCCCCTGCGCCATCTGTGATTTCCAGGTCAATTAAATCTTCACTCCGAGACCTCGTATTCCCATCGTTTTGGCATACAAGCGCATACAACACTTTTTTTGCCTTTATCCCGTTCAAATGCGAGTTTATCGACTACCAGAGTGTTCTAAATTGTAAAATTGTCCTGACCCTTTCGATTCTCATATCAGAGCCTTCGATAATTGTACATTGATCGAAATATGAGAGCTCGACGCCATTTTGGTTTTGGTCTGGGCTGAGTTAAAAAATTCTTTTTGAAAAATCCAAATTTTAAATGTGTCTGGACAATTCTTAGACGATCAGAAGTGACGTGTCAAAGTTTCGGACAGTTTGGTCTAATACCCTTAAAAAAAAATGTATTCAAATCAACTGATTTGAAGGGTGTTTCACTTCACCTTAATGAGACTTATTTTCTCTTTGTTATACAGCCGAACAAGTGTACATTTCATTCAAACGTATTTGTCAATTGAACATATTTCTTTGACGTAATCGAATGATTTCCTTGATTTGAATTCAATAAATCTTTCATTTAATTTAACATTTAAATTGGTTTGAAAGCTTGCGACAAATGAAGGTGTACACAATAACACGGTCTTTTTAACAATGTATCGTAACTCAAACATTTTCTCTGTAAAGGTGATACATCATTATATCGATATGTATCTAAAAGTATAGTTAATGACATGCTTAAACTGAATTTAAATGTTTCATTTCTTTCCTGTACCTGATGAACCAGTTATTGTAACACCGTCAATAAGTACCAGTCTCATTAACATAACTCTTCAACGTAACAATTACGGTTACGGTTACAACAATAACATTAAACGTTACGACGTGAGAAGCATATAATTTTCCTAGACCGAGCGAGACATTTACTTTCTAGGCGAGATTAATTACTTGCGGCAATCTCATTGTTCCTTGTTAAAAGAAATTCCCAGAAAAATTGATTTTGTAAGAATCATCAGTGTTGCAATGCTGTGTTTGCGAAAGCTTAATGTATAAATCTGACCTCGAGTATTCAAAATATCACTGAAAATTCTACTACTCTTCGGATAAAATATTATATTTAACCCAAACTCGATAGAAAAAGTAATTAATGGCGAATAAATATTGTTGGAAGTCAATGAAAGATGAGTTCATCGATAACTGCCAGAAGATAGAGAAAAGGAAAACATCAGATATACTGGTAGTTTCATAAAATATTAATTTGTCATAAAAATATTAATAATTCTTCCAGTCTTTCATTCATTGAGGCGAATTAAATTTTTATTCTAACTCGTTTATGTACCTATAATCATGTAACTATCAAATGGACTTGCGGAATTTGAGATTAAGAAAATTTAGTATTTAAGGTGATATGAAAAGGTCATTATATGTATATATAATTTTTATCAAAAATGAAATTTCATGAGCATCACGTTCTTCCTTAGAGCCTCCATAATCGGGTGATGAAGTTTCAAATGATTCGGTGCATCCAGTTTGAAGAAAAGTTTTATAAATATATTGACGATTTATATATATAGAACGACCCTTTCATATCACCTTAAGATTAAAAAATTTGTCTCGATCTCATTCGATGAACCCTTCGACTCATTTTGTTGCCAGTAGCCAGTAAAGATCTGTTCGATGCAAGAATTTCAATCTAGAAAGTGATTTTTTTTGTTCGATATACTGCATCCTTTGTCAGGGTTCATTGCGAATAAAAAATAATAAAAATGAAACGACCTCACCCCGACGTAAACGATATAGAAACTAATTAGCCTAACAAACAAGTGTTGAAAAATTAATCATAAATGAATCGTTCAACTGTGCAAAAGTTTCCCATTACTTCGGCCTGCCAACCACATTTTTAATGAAATTGCTCGCTTGAACGTAAATACTTTAATAAATAAATACCCACAGGCAACATTCCCTTTATCCCTAGGTATTCGAGCAAAGCTACGTCGACAATCTAAATGAAGCATAAATATTTCAAGGGCTCCCCGACATTCAAAATTCACTCCCACTTGCAGTTAAGCCACAAAGTTTAAGGGCCAGTTAAATGTTAAAGCCTTTCATAAATCATCAATGAACTTAGATTTGAGTTTACTAACTGCGACAGGAGGAATTTCCCTTACTCCCAGATGGTGCACCGAAAAAAAAAACTGTTATGAAATGGGTGTTAGTTCATAATAACATGATATACAACTATAAAAAGAAAAAATAACTTTACAAATTGTTGTTGCATATCGTATCCTTTTTATGGACTGGTGCCTATTTCACAGCTCATATTATAATGTTTAATACCATTTTCTCTCAGTGCCTTCCTTTCGATAACCATTTAACCTGAGAAAAAATAGTACTAAATATTAGAACATGAACTTTGAAACAGACGGCAGTCCCTAAACAGGAAACAATGTACAACTGCAGTTTATGAAGTTACCTTTTGTAAAGTTAGTCTATCTTTCTGTAATTGTATATCGTTCCTTTTACAAACTGACACGTATTTTACAAGTACGTTTTTTCGGTATATTGGAATCACCGAACGCTTTTCCTTCCGTCATTGCATCTTACTTTCTCATTTGGCATTCAATTGGATATACATTCCCATTCGCAATACAATTATCACAATCGATACTCTTTGCACTATTCTTAATATTAATCGCCCAACAAGTAAGCATTCGTTCTTTCCATCAGGTCCAATACGTGACAACAGACAAAGGCCATTCAAGAGTCGCTTCAATTTAAGGACTCCTATTGTCACCTAAATTTATCATATAAACACAATCCTCTCTTTTTGATAACTCCTTTTAAGTTTCCTTCCAAATATTTTTTCAACATCGTTTGGCTCGCAAGCTTCAACAAAATGCCCTATCCAATGGAATCAATCGCTTAATCTCCTTATTCTACACTTTGATTCACTTTCCAGTAACTAAAACCACTGAATTTCCACTTGTCTAATGCAATGCACTCAGCCTGAAGCTTTGATCGCAACTCATTAAAGCAATTCCAGTCGATGTCTACGATCCTGTCAAATCTAAATGCAAGAGGGTTAACATCTTCTATGGAGACATCCCTTGTATTGCTCTCTCTTAGACCGATGCTTTGTTCTCAGACTTTAGCTTCGATCACTGTCCACTAAACCAACCACAATAAATTTCTACGTTCTGACATGTTTACTTCAGTCACAAAGAAGTTAACCTCTACCACAAAGGCATGCATCACTCTCTTGGACTGGCACTTTAGCATTTGAACCATAGCTTTGATCACTGCCTACTAAATCAACCATGACCAATATCTATTTCCTCAACAATTCACTTTAGTCGCAAAAGAATTTTTGCATCGCTTTCATAAACCAATGTTTCGCACCCACAGCTTTAATCGCTATACACTAAACCTATCTTAATCGACATCTGTGTTCCTAACTATTGACTCTAGTTGCAAGGCACTTAACGTCTTCACTGAGACACGCATTGCTCCCTCTTGGACCAGTGCTTTGCACCTAAATAAATCAATCTCCGTTCCTAACCAATCACTCCGATTAATCTTTCCCACGAAGACACTTCTTGCACGTGCTTTGTCTTAGACCAACGCTTTGCCTCAAGCCGATAACTTTCATCGCCACTATCTGCTTTGTCTTGGACCAACGCTTCGCCCCAAGCCCATAGCTTTGATCGCCACCCATGGAACCGATCCTAACCACCATCGACATTCCTAACCATCCACCAGTCTACAGGTGGTCAACCTCTTCACTGAAGCATCCCATTACAATTGACATCTACGTTCCTAACCAACCACTCTGGTCGCCAAGCGGTTAACTTCTTGCACAAAGACACTCCTCGTACCTGCTTTGTCTTAGACCAATGCATAGCCCCAAGCCAGTAGCTTTCATTGCCACCCATGGAACCGATCCTAACCGCCATCAATATTCCTAACCATCCACCAGTATCCAGGTGGTCAACCTCTTTGCCGAAGCATCCCATCACAATTGACATCTACGTTCCTAACCAACCACTCCGATCGCCAAGTGGTTAACCTCTTGCACAAAGACACTCCTCGTACCCGCTTTGTCTCGGACCAACGCTTTGCTCCAAGCCCATAGCTTTAATCGCCACCGACGAAACCGATCCTAACCGCCGTCAACATCCTAACAACGCATCAGTCGCGAGGGGGTCAACCTCTTCGCCGAGGCATCCCCTTCCCGCTCTCTCCTGGGCCGACGCTTCGCCCGCAGAAACGGCACCGTTCCTAAAAGCACAAAAGACCCCGCAGAGAATCCACACCTCGGAGGTTCCGGCGGGTGCATTCCAGCTCGGGCTGCGCGATACGTACCGCGGCGACGTGACCGTTGGCGGAGGGATGGTGCAGCTGCAGGGGGGGAGCCGGCTCGCCGGCGGCGCCGCTGCCGGCACTGGCCGCGCCGAGCCACTTCATCCGTCGTCCTGAGACTCGCGGTCGACGGGAGCCGAGCGTCCTCTAACCTCCTCGTCGGGTGCCGCGGGCGGGTGGACGGGCCTCTCCGGGGGCGATGCGGCGTCGTCGGGTCGGCGCGCTCACGTCCCGAGAAGCAGCATGACGCGCCGCCGAGCGGCCAGCGCCGCGCCGACGTCCACGGACAATGAAACGCGGCAGAAGGCGCTCCCAGCCCTCGGGAGCGGACGCGTAAGAGTCAGCGGCCTCGCAATGGCAGCCGCGGACGCGCGAGCCCCTTGACAGCGACCGGGACACCTCGGCCCTCGCCCGGACGGACGCGGCCTCGCTCAGATCCGCGCCGCCGGACTCTTTCTCGACCCTCTCTCTGTCTGTCTCTCTCTCTCTCCCTCGCGGACCGCGCACCGACTCGACGCGGCGAGTGGACGCGCGCGAGCACTCCGACGGACCGCCGACGGCACGACGACGTTCACCGGCGCACACGAGACACTCCACGGGCTCCTCTCGCCCTGGGGGAACGACCGGGACACGACGGGACGCGACGACGCGCCGATTCTCGCCAGACGGGGAACGAGAGACGACCTAGGACACTGCGAATACGTACGCCGCGGTGGCGCCGCGAGACTACCGCGAGCGCGAAGGAACGCCGCCGACCGCGCCGATGCGCACGACATCTGGCGCCTGCTGGCCGAACCTTCGCGGTCGCTGTCGGCGAGCCGCGCGAGGCGACCGCGCCGGCGCTGGCGAAGCCTCTACCCGTGTCCAGGGTTGGGTAATTTCACGATTTTCGAGGTTTTTGACGTATATTACGTAAATCAAGTAGTTTACCGGAGAAAACGTATCAAATATAGAGTTCGAAAATTCTCGGTAACATTAAATTGGAGAAGGTAACCGTGAAACATACCGTAAGTTACCGGGAACATTGAGAATTTAAAGGAACGATAATTTTGTTATTTATACTTTAGGTTTCTTCGTTTAAATAACTTTTTTTTTCAATTAACTTCAAAGTTCAAGCTAAAGAGTAATAATTACTATTAGAAAATATTAATTACAGGGTCGTATTTACCTCCAGATAAAAATATTCACGTATGTACAACTTCACGAAAAATTCCATGCCATTTGTTTCAAACGAACTGATATTTCATTCTGCGACGAAGCGAATGGGAGGTTTTGATTGGTTACGGAGAACGTACTACGGAAATTCCCCTCTACGATGTTTCTCTATAACTAATCGAAACCTCTCGTTCGCTCTGTTGAAAAATTCAAATTCTCATAATTTCTCGATAAAAAAGGCTTTGGAGAAATTACCGATAAGTTACCGGGAATTTCTCTTCGTTTCTGACGTAACTTACTGGATTTAGAACTCTACGTATTATCAGAGATGAGTTGGGAGATTGCTCACGGGCAGGGTCG